GGGGGGAAGATTTCTGGGTTCTAGGTGTGTTCTAGAGCAAGAAAGGAAGGAGAAAACCAAGCTTATCTCACCGGTTTCTCAAAGGCATGGCTGGGTTCCTCTTTTTTTTTCTTTCGAGTGGCTGCAGCGGGAAGAAAGGAGAAGAAGAGCAGAATCGGGCAAGGCTGGGAAGAAAAGAAAGAAAGAAAAAGAAAAAGAAAAGAAGTCATCCTTATCCAAAATTTTTTCCTCTTTAAGTCCCTTAAGTTTGGACATTTCGGCTCTTAAGCCCAAAACAATATTTTCTCACAATTTAGTCCCTAACTCACTTATTTATTCCCGAAAATTTGGGATATTACATTTAAATTGTTTGTGGATGTAGCCACGATAGCAATACTAATGTATGTGCATAAATATTGTATTTATAATCATGTTTTATGTAGATATATTAAATATCCAAAATCTATAAATCCAATTAACTGATATTGAGTGGTTCGAATTAGATCACTACATGCTTAAAGTTTGTTGGGTTGGGTCATTTTAGGTTAAATCATGGACTAGGTAAAGGACCTATGGCTTCCATGGCTATCACTGGGGGCTTCCATGGGTGTCCAAGGATTTTATAATACTTCATTGTGGTAATGGGAAATATAGGGACCTAGGGGTTCTTTGCTATATAGATAATGAAACAAATCTATAGTGAAATTGAAATTATTCATGAAATGAGAAGAACAAAATTGTAGAGGAATGAGAGGAAAAAATTTGATGTGAAAATTGTTATTTGTAGAGGTTGTCGAATTCGAAAAGTGAATGAAGGGAATGTTGAAATTTGAAGCTGTAAGTTTGTTATGTTGAAATTGAAAATTTGATGTTAAATAATTTTGAAAGAATCCGAAGAAAAATTCTTGAGTTTTTTTTTTTTTTTGAAGTCAAATGGTAATTAAAGTCAATTAATGGTTAACTAAATTTAATTATGTTTTAATTCATTTAATTCTAAAATTAAGCAGTACAAATTGAGTTTTTTAAGTGGGTCCAATATATTTACATAAAATGATGTTTTGTCCACATCATCACTTTTTTACGTTTTGCATCTTTCCATATCATATAACAGAGAAGAAATCAAGCAATGTCACTAATCAGTGTGCCATATCAACAAAAATTTAATGGAAGGGTTAAAAAAGGACTAGCTAGAAAACTAAATTTTGTGAATAAAAAAAGGGATTTTTTTTTTTTTTCAATTGAAAGATGATTAAAAGGGGGCTTTACGTAAAAGTTGAAGGATTAAAATTAAATTTTAACCTAAGTTTTATGTTTCTTAAAGGATGTCATAATAATTAAGAGTTTGAATTTTCATGTTAAAAATCTTAAATTCAAATTTTAAGATGAGTGAATAGGGGTTTGGAACCAAAGAGCTATCTCCTGATAAAGGCATAACCACAATGGAAGCCCTCCAAGTGTTTCTCTTTTAGACTATTAGCCTCCCAATGTATATTTTGTATATTTTAGTCCTTAAAATTCACATTGTTGCTGTAATTAATTTAAAATAAATAAAATCTCATCACATGAGTCACATAGTCACCACTGCTCTATTACCATGCCCTCGATAGCACCATGCTAACATAAATATGGTTCAATTGGACCCATAAAAATGGAAAAATCTTGCCTAATGCATGCATAAGTCTTATCCTATATTAGATTTCTCTTGTCTCAATGGGTCAAAGTAGACCATATTTATGCTAGTATGACATTGACAAAGACTAGGTAACAAAAGTAGAGATAAACAAGTGATTCACGTAATGAGATTTTTTCTATTTTAGATTAATTATGATAATAACATAAAATTTATGAGTTAAAATACACAAAATATATGTTAAAAGGCTTATAAATTCAAAGATAAATAATTAGAGGGCTTCTAGGGGGTTCAGCTGAACAATTAAATAAGTTTTATATAGAATAAAAATGTGAAGTGTCTTTTTTCTATTTTTTTGCTGTAAGGGCTTTTAGGGTCTGTTTGGTAACCTCTTCTCGAAAGGTATTTCCAGAGATGTCACATGCATTATATCACTTGGCGTGGTCTAGGATATGTAATTTACTGACACAAATCCCAACAAAAAAAAATCAATGATTGTAAATAGATAAAATTTGTTTTGAAGAAATTTAAGTGCTCATATTAATGTCATCAACTACAATTACCCGAAAATCATTTCCCAATGAAAAATCCTGGAATGTTTCCCTTCAAATATGGTAATTGAGTGAACCAAATCTTCATTTAAGTGGTTCATTCCAAGTTTTAAGACATTTGACTTAGTTGGTCGGGGTTTTGAGCCTCATCATAAAAAAATCTCCCCTCTCCCAAATTGTAAATTCTTCAAAAAAATATATATCGTAATTGACTAGTGGGATTTTTAAAATTATTGTGAAGTACTGTGATAGTAATTATAATTGTAATTATGTTAAATTGTATTATATTGTAATTGTAGTTAAAAGTTATTTTATTATGTGGTTACTTTTTTAAAATATTATTTTAAGTTTTTTATGATAGGTGTTTTTTTGAATTTTGTAAGAGAGCAACCCATAAGGAGGGAATGATTTTTTAATTTTTTATAAAATTTTCAAATAAAAAATAGGTTAAGTTTAAATAAATATTATAAATTAAGATATAATTGAATTAAACAAGATTTGGTTTTATTAGATAAATTTGTAATTGTATTAAATATTATCTGTTTTTTGTGAAAGCCATAGCCAAAAAAACTTCAAAATAAGACTTCTAACTTTATATATAAAATTACTGTAAATCTATTATCGCTTTCTACAACTTTTAGAAAAAGTAATTTGAAAAAATTATCAAACACATATTTATTTAAAAGTATCATACAACTACAAAAAAAAAAAACTCCCAACTGCAATTCCAAACATATCCTACAATTGAAATGTAATCACTTATTTTAGTTTTAAAGCCATATAATTGATTATATATAGAATATATTCCGTTATTATTTTGCTAAGTGTGGTTATTGTTACTATCAATATTATTAAAATCACTAAAATTTTAATTTTTTTATTATAAATAGTGTCTAAAAATATTAATTTATTACTTAATTTTAATTTATTAACTAATAAATATCAATTGTTTTATTAATTATTAAGTAATAGTTAAAATCATTAGTCATTTTTATTAGTTAAATTAAATAAAATTAATATTTTTAAAAATAATATCTTACAATTTTAATCATCATAATATTATTTTTAGTGGTTATAACTGTACCCCTTTTTGAAATGAAATTTGTGCCTAAAAATGATTTTCCTGGACCAAGCCATGGCTTCCAAAAATGTGGCTTCCTTAAATTTCCTAACTTAAGTCATCCAATTAATTGTTTAGATGCAATTAATAATTAATAATTGATATTTAATAGTTAATAATAATTATTATTTATAATTTAATAATATTTAATTTATTAATTAAAATTAATAACTAATTATTATTTACAAAACTACAAACACCCCCCTAATCATTAAGCTATCAAACTTCTATTGGACACATTTGCATTGCTTTAATGGCTTGGCTTGGCTCGGCAGGACAGATTGGAGCAGCAAGTATTGCACTTATTTTGTAATGTAAAACTATTCCCTCCTAAATTTTTCTATGTTCAAAAAGACTATTTTTAGTCAAAAATTGATTTTTTTCTGCATATTTCTTCTATTGCATAATAACAGGATTTATTTATCAGTGCTTCACATAAATCTTTTTTATATAATACTTTATCTAAAAATATAAATTTATAATTTTTATTTAATTATAATTAAATTTTTATATATTTTAACTATTTTTTATTAATAATTTATATATTTTTAAAATAGTAGAAGAAAAAATCTTATAGTTATAACACAACCTTGATGACAAAAATATAATACTTTTTTTATTTAAAATTCATCTTAAAATAATTTTTAGAATATTTTTTTTATATTTTAAGAGAGACATTTTTTTATTGTGATATTTTAATTTTAATCATTCATTTGTCACTAAAATTTTCTCTTTATCTCTATACCTTTTTTAAGGCAATATAGGTAAAAAAAAGTCAAAAAATGATGGAGCAGAAGTATGATACTATTTTTTTAGGATTTATCTCTTAGAGTAAGGGTGTATTAATTATGTACTTTTTCATTAATTTATATTAAAAACACAAAAATTAATTTTATTTTTAACACTAATGACACTTATACATTTTAAATTAGATAGTTGATAAAATTAAAATTAATTTTTATTTTTTTATAATAATTGATAAAAAAATATAATTAATATGCTACTACTCCATTTATTTTTAATAATCTTAGTTCAACTTTTAAACTTTTTAAAAATAAATTTTGTTTGAAAATTTAACATATTATATAAATAAAGAAAAAAGTGTCTGTTAGCCTGATTTTTTTAAAATTAGAAGAAAAAATATCTTAAAATTGCTTGCTTTCAATAAACTCTTTTTGAAAAAGACTACAATAAGTTTTTTTTAAATTAAAAATGACTTTATTTTTGTTTTTTCCCTATGATATTTTAATGAAAGGTATTTGCCTTCCTAATATTTTAGAGGCCTGGCTTATAAATACCAATATCTAAATAATAGTTAAAAAAAAATTTATCAACTAAAAATACTCAACAAGAATTACATAAGAAAAAATTTTCCATTGTTTTACAGATAAATTATTAAATTTTTATATAAGATTTATCTAAAAAATTAAAAAATTAATTAAGACAAAATAAAAATGAAAGAGGGAGCGTTAACCTGTGCAGACACAAGTTAGGAATTTGTGTTTTTTTTTTTTTTTTGACTCCATAGCTATATTGATTTGTCTTCTTTACCTGTATCTGTGTTTCTTTCTTCCTAATTTATTTTATATGGTTTTTTCTTCTTTCTTTTTTAATTAGCATTTTTATTGGAACAGGCTTTCGAACTTAATAATTCGTCTCTAAACTTTAATACTTAAGTTTAATGGGTTAAAAATTCAATTCCTACCAATGACTTGAAAAAAAATCTCCCATTCTTCAAAATTTCCTCATGTTCAAAAAAAAAAAAAAATCAGCATTTTTATTGGGCTTCTTAATCTAAAGGATCTTCGAGGGACATAAGCCATTGATCTTTTATAGTTAAGAATTTTAATATGTCAATAACTTTAATGGTATTTTTTTAAAATAAGAGATTTTAAATTAAAATTGTATAATATGTAAGTACAGTAAATTGAAAAATAAAAAAGAATTATTATTTATTGTGAAATTTAATATAACATAAAAAAGAGATTTTCAATATCTTTATTGTAAAATTACTTTTTTACCCATTTTATTAATCAATATATATAATATATGAGGGGTGCAAAGGAAACTCACCCATTTTTCCCTTAATGACACATAACAAGAGAGTTCGACACAAGGAAGTTGATACTGTACCGTATCGGTCGATATGGTTGGTACATATTAGTTTTTGTATTAAATCAAAACGGTCCATGGTCTAGTTTTGTTTTGGTCAAATTTTGGTCATTTCAATCAAATTTTGGCGTACCAACCAATATTTCATGTATCGGCCAATACCAGAAAATTGGTCTTATGCAATTCAAATTTTAAAAAGGGTAAATTTCATTTTTGGTCCTCAACCTCATT